TTTCTTTTTCTTTTTCTTTTCCTTTTCCTTTTCCTTTTCCTTTTCCTTTTTCTTTTTCTTTTTCTTTCTTTTTTTTTTTTTTTTGTTCTGCAATTTTTCAAGTAGTAGAGACATTTTCCCAGCAGATTATGAGAAATCCATTTGTCTTTAGCATACAGTAGTTGCTAAACATATATAACTTTCCAATCCTCTCTGGGAAATAAGTGACAGAGACGTTCAGTTAACCCAAACAACACATTTCACAGTAAGTGCTATGCTATCAAAAGGCCATTGGACTGAATAGCTGAATGTCCCCTCATTTAAGAATATGGAGGGAGCCAGGACCAGGAGATGCTGGGAAGCTTGTCATCTTACAGTCAGTATAAATATTTGTAGATACACTGAACAGAGACTGAACTCTGCCAAACTTCTGGCTCCTGGTTTAACAGAAGAATTCCTCCCTCCATTTAGTGTTCATCTAAAATAAGACAGCAAGAAGCTGTAGGCCTTGTCTGCTGAGCAAAGTTGCACTGAAAACTGATTTTAAATAGATCTAATTAGATGAAAGCACACTGCTAGCATGAATGCACTTGCATCTTTTTACACCATGCTTTACTTCATTTAATTTCCTTTTATACCAGTTTAAATATTTCAGGGGTTAGCACTGAATAGAGCAAATCAACTTAAAAATTCTGTGACATCTTTTTCCAGTGTAATTAGGTTTCACAGAGCTTTTTTGTTTCCATCTATTGATCTCAGTGACTATTCTGGAGCATACTGAAAGAATAATTTTTTCACAAAATTCACTGATTCACTTGCAAATCTACTCAATTCAGTCATCTGCATATGATAAGCATTGTGTGTGTATATATACAATTCTACTGTATAGTGAGATCAATATTGACATACAAATTTAAGGTAAGATTGTGGGGTTTTTTGTTTTTATTTTTTAAGCCAAATGGCTTATTGAAAAGAACATTGGTGGGTCTATTACTTGCATGTCTTTTTATTACTTAAAACAAAATAAAAACCCCGAAAGTAAAAAAAATTAAATGTAAGCAACTTTCAGCCATGTTTTGAGTTTATTCATAACAGGGTTTTTAAAAAGATGTTAGAGAAAAAGAAAGCTAACACTAATAATCTCTATTCATAATTTAGCAGCAGGTCTTCATAACCATGGGATATGTTTTGTACTAAAATGAAAATCATGAAAAAAATCTGCTTATTTTTTTTCTGGCCAAGTGAAGTGCATTTTAAAAAAAGAAAGCCATAGTCACAGAAAATGCATGCTAGTAGAAACTGGAACTGAATCTAATTCTAATTCTAATACTTGGTAATGCATTTATAGCAAGGTAAGTCACTGTAATGATCTCCAGCCTGATAATGTTCCTTTTAGCTAACCAACCTGTCTGCTCAATTGTTCAGGGTTCTCACTCAGCCTGATCTCAAAAAGCACCGTAAACATTAAGCAAACCCCAAAACAAGATCCTGAGAACTATTTATACAAGTTACTGTGGCCAGTCAGGGCAATAAAACAATGGTTTACAAGAAGCCCAAATAAAATTTTGGGCTGCTCTGAGCATGATGGCCTGTGGCAAGTCAGTGGGTAAACACTCAGTGCAGAAATGGAGAGACGGTTAAAAAAGATGAGGGCAAGTTCATGAATAAATCCAAGCGAGCACACTGCCTGTGTTCTCATGCACCTTGGTCCCTAAAGTATGTTTGAGTTAGGATTATGCTTCTTTCCCTCCCACCACCCTTTAAGTCCTTTTAATCACTTGAAACTTGCATTAAATACAGAGTAAACTCTTTATGAGGAAAGGTTCCCTTGTGTTGCGTGTTGTCTAAGGAAACCTCCATGTTATGATTAGATCTGTTATGGTTAGATCCTTAACAATTTATTTCAGTGGGAAAACTTCCACTGGATTTAATAGCAACAGGGACTAAACTACATTTCCATGAATCACTTTAAGACAGTTTACCACTCAGGGATATTGGCTTCTTACCAAATGACCGTCCTATTTATGTTGTAAAGCACATTTTCTTTGTTCCATGTTATATCCCCAGTCATGGATGTGCTCTTAAAAGGAACCTGAAACTCAGATATCATAACCTCAGTGAAATAGCCTTAATACTATAACATATTACACTATTGTAGTGAATTACATTTTTGGAGAAAAAGTTCTCACGTGTCCTGTAAAAGGAAAATTTACACTGGATCTATTTTAGTAGAGTGACTGCAGCATTGTGTCTCTCCTTGAGGTAAGTCTAAACATGTGAGAAAGATCTACATGATAAAATCCAAATGTAAGTACCTCCTGCTACTCCACATATGAAGGAATTTTCAAAATGATAAATGAAACGTCCTTGCTCGAAATTACATTCTGAAACCAAGGGCTTTGTTACAGATGTAGAGGTGTGCAACAGCACTGACATTCGTCAGCTAAGCAAAGTGTCCTTGGGAAGCATTTGGACATACATATAGGTTTTGCAATATGACCTACCTGCGGGGAGCACTGCTGCCCAAAGGGCTGTGAGCTGTTAGCATGGCTGTTGGTGGGGCTATGCGCCTGTAGGTGCCTGAAATGGTTTTCAGCCTTCTCACTGTCAGTGTTCTCCTTCTGGCTCTTCTGCAAGCTTCCTCTGCTGGCTTTGGATTCCAGCTGTTGTTGTAAAGGCTGTTCCTGGCAGAAGTGTGTTGAGTACTCATTTAACATCGGCTTGAACCCTAGCTGCACAGAAGGAGGAACCTCACAGCCTATAGTAGGTTGAATGGCGAATGGAGACTCCCATGGTGGGGATGGCTGGAGATCTGTAACTCTTGGCAAGAGAAGAATGACTACTTAGCCACGTTCAGATCTGCCAGTGAAGAACAGGTTTGGTTTTCTGACAGTAAATGAACAGGGACTTCTGAGTAGTGACAGCAGCCAGTAGTAAGACACCCAGTGCCTTCTTTTCTTCAAAGATGCTTTGGCCTCATATCTTCCATAAGATAACTGTTTTGCTTGCTTTCCTCTCAGAGCAAGATTATTCTTTACAGTAATAAATGGAAGAGTAATTGAAAGAAATGTCACTGCCAATGAGCACTAAATCAGTACCAATCCTTAGTGTGTTGTCTTTCTCTGAAAAAGCTGCCCTACGATAATGGTGTAGATGATACAGAACTTCATAATAGCAGAAAAAGCCAAGATGACAAAACCGTGTAAAAAGTTATGCCTTACTTTTGTACAAATGGCTGATTTGAGAAAACCTACGGATGTTTCATAGGCTTCTGCAGTAATTTGGAACATTTGCTTTCCATGCAATAGAGCAAAAATGTAAAGTTGTGAAATTGGAAAATTTTCTTACACTGCAGAAACTGTTGTAATGTAGCAGTATTCACATTGTTCTTATTTAGAAATCATTCAGGGTTTGTACATCACATAATTCAGTAAACAGTTACAATTAATCATTTTTTTATACTGTATCCACTGTGCTAGGTACAGTATTTTTAACAGCAATATAATGTATGTCATTTACAGACAGAGCTTAGGACAAGCAAATACAGATTTGTATTTGGCCTCTAGAGATGGAAAAGAGGAAGAGGACAAACAGTAGTTACTCATTTATGAAAATGCAATTTTCCAACAAACAGCCACAACTGCAGACTTCTGACAATAGCTCATCTTGAGCAGCATCTTTGGTTCCCACATTACTTGTAGTGCATCAACTGGTAGTACTCTGAAATCAAGAATTAAAAACAAAAATAATTTGGATTTTTCAGTGTTGTTTTGACTGACTCGTACTAAATACTGATAAACCACTGTTTGTTCGTTTCTCCATGAGATGTATTCTGGATCTTTGACTGTAATAAGATGATGCTCCAAATCTTCACTGCCTGTAGTCTGTTTCATATAATAGTGCAGGTTTGATGTGATTCAATCCACACAAGAGTGTTCTTTTTCAAATTCATTTAAATCCATCTCAGTTTAGAAGAAGAAACTTGTTTAACAGCTGTGCATGTTGATGCCATGTATGAATTGTACTGTCTTCTCAGGTCAGTTGCTCTTAGGCAGGTGGTCACATCACAAAACATCAGAGTAACTGCCTTGAAAAAATCACCCTGAGTCTCTCAGGGGGAAGGACAATAATTAACAACATATGGAAATAGTTGCTCTTACCACAGGGATGAAAGGTACATTGGTAAAACAGGATGTGGGCAAATTTATGTTCCAGTTGTCTCTGTCTGTGGTTTGTGTCAGCTTGTGTCTGAACAGGAGATTCTGGCTTATGATGTGTCAAGATAATCAGAATAATTAATGTATTTTTGAAAAACAGAAAGTATGAAACAAGTTTAAAACTAGAGAACTTCACTGACTTCAGTTGTCAGAATCTGGTTTACTTTAATTCTGCAGAAATTATGGCTGAATTTTGCAGAAAGCGTGTTTGTTTTTCACCTAATCCTGGTGTCAGAAGCAGGGGTATACAAGTTTTTCAATTAATGTATGTTCACATTTCCTGAAACTTTGCCTAGAATCTGAAAAGTGTTACAAAATATTGGAAAAAAATGAATACAACATGTGAGAAAATTTTGAAGGGGTTGTCTTCCTAAATGCTACTGATGCAACAACAAATATTACAACAATGAGTGCAAGGCTGAATTTCTCCAAAATGATGAATATTAAACTATTTGGAATCAACCAGAATTCCAGAAGATTTCAGTTCAGATTAAAGATATATATATATGTATTTAATAAGAGAAGCCATGCAAATTCATAAGTAACTCTTACAGTATTCTAAGATGACCATGTCGTGCATATGGTTGAATTTATCACATTTCTCACACAAAGAAAGGCAATGCTTGATAAGGGATTTTATTGGGTAATTATATTTTTTAACTTGCAAATAAAGCAAATTCACTTCCATCTTGAAGTAATTTACTAACAGTTTATAAACTCATCAAATGCTAACATGGTACAGCATGCTTCATTTCCTGTTTACTTACTACATGATCCTTTGTCTGTCTCCTTTGTGCCTTTCAGGCTGAACCTAGAATTGTTCTCTGCCAGGGATGTCATGGAGCCTCACATGAGAGTCCTTCACCTGAAGGAAAACATTGCCTCCTTGGCTTGGCTTCTTGCAAGCACAAGCCATGGTGGATTCCCTGTGGTTGGTAGGACCAAGTCAGATCAGGCACAGGTGTTTCAAGGAACCATTAAGAGGTAAAAATGCTATCAAATTGATGTTATGCGATGTTTATGTCTATTTTAATTTCTTTTTTCTTAAACATCTGCTTGTGAAGACCACATGGGATGAATATGAAACTTGTTTCTACTTTCTTTAGCATGAACAGCAGGTGTCTTTTATAAGAAAGGACTTTGAAAAACTTGAGGTGCATGGCTATCTATTTCATGAAGGATTTATTGAAATGAATCAATAAAATGATCTTATAAGAATTGTAGAAAAAGGGAAAATTGTACTTCAGAACATTGACGTTTCAAAGAAACAGTAATTTTAAGGGATTTGAATCTAGTGACTCATGAAATGTCCTATGTCAGTTCAAAGTTGGCCTGTTCTTCTGTTGACTTTTTTTTTTCATTTTCTTTACTGTATGCTTTTAAAGGAAATGGATTAATGTAAATCATATCACAGACAAGATAAGCAACAAAGTCACTAAAAATTTCATGCTGCGTAAACAAGAATTAGACTAAAGGAATTCTTCTTACACTGGGGACTCTCAAAAGGCATATAAAATATCTTGATAAATGAAGTATTGCTGATACTGTACATTATATGCAAGAATGATTCTATTCTTTCACAAAGGAGTCTTAAGACTGTTCTTTGAGTGGTCGGTCAGGAGTGGGAGAGGCAGTGACTAAATTCCCACCTTGAGTATCCTAGAGGAAAGGAGAGGATGCATGTACAACTGCTTCCTAATAGGAGTTCACATAGCAAAGCCCTATGAATGATACTTCCAATAACCTTAATATGAATACATCGTGTCTTCTGTGCTAAATATTCATAGTATTCTAACATGTTCCCTTGTAGAGAATGTTTTTCACCCTTAATTGGGAAGAAGTTGGTAACTACCTAGATTAATGTAGTTTCTTCTATTGATCTGGATGGGGAAAGATGTCATCCACGTATCATGAGTGGAAAATTGATTGGGACTTGCCTCCTTGCCTGTTTTATAGCAACTTTTCAAGGATGAACTATTGACAGCTGGACCACATGAACCTATCTCGCACATAGCTCCATGGTCAGCAGAAATTTTGGAGCATAAAGATAGAAAGTGGGTGAATATTTAATGAAGCCTGGGAACTTTGCATGAATCTCTCAGAGAAATACTGGCTTGAAAAGAGAAAGTTGTACAGTGCAGACTGTTTGGGTTGTAGTGGCCTGAAGAAGTAACATCAATAATTGCAGTACCATATACTTGTATGTGGTATATACTCTTGTTCCTTCACAGTGATGCTGTCATAAATGCTAACAAGAAATGTGCTAAGGTGCTAAAACTTCAATTTCGGATTGATAGTCCGCAGTGTGCAGCAATCTGAAAATATTATATGCCATCTAGTAGCACACTTGTTTAGTTCTCAGCTGGACTCATCAATAAAACACATTTACAACAGACCAAACCAAAGTCTCTTCTAAATTGAACTGATAATCTTATAATAATTTCCTCATTAATTCAGCAAAATACCTGGTAGTGAGAGTCTCAGGCTGCTGGGGGTACGCTGAGTTTACACAAATGCTGTTGTGCTTCTTAATGCAGAGCAAAGTTGTTGAAGCAAACAAAAAAGAGGGGTCAAAAGGATGATCATGAGCACATGCCAAAAAGAGGCACTTTTAGAGGCAATCTGATGCTACCTGACAATTCTGGTAAGCTTGTAGTTTGCTTCATTCCCATAACTGCATTCTAACAGAATGGATTCAGAGAGAGGGGGTGAACAAAATAGTTTTTCCCCTGGTACTCTCAGCATGAATGAGCTGTTGTTAGACTGTTTTGAAGAGAATCAAGATAGCATTTTAAATAGTTGACAAAGTAGCAGCAAATGTGAGGGTTTTTTTTGTCCAGTCCAACGTTTATTACCCGCACCAGTGAAACCCATAGTGAATGGCTGTCTGAGAGCAAGCACTGCAATCTGGCATGCTCTGTCAGCACCCTTCTCACCCACCATGTGTCCAGCTGCCTGAGAACTGCTGTGATGAGGTCTGGGTGCCTTGTTCCCAGCAGGGAACATGGGTAGCTTTGCTGTTCTGCCACGGTTCCTCACCAACTCCAGGAAAGGAATTTCTCTGCAGCCAGCCTCTGAAACAAGCCTCCAAAAATGTGATTTGTCATGGAATTAGTGTATTCATAACCATAAGTAGCTAGGATTTGGTTTTCCATCTTACTCATAAAATTACAGCTCCTGTGGCACGTAACTGCTAAGATCAACATGAGAAATGCTGTGAACTCCTTAAAGGAGAATGGTGTTGTTTATTCTCTTACTGCATGGGATCCACTGCAATCCCATGTGAAGGTGACAAAGCCACAGACAGAAAATTTGTTTTTCCATCTTATACATCAACAACGTTCAAATGGAGAAAATGTAGTTTGCTTGGCATGTTTTAAAAATTGCAGACGGGGGAAGATCCAATAGTATTTGCCATTATGCTTTTCTTGAGAGTTTCCATGGACGTTATTATTGATTCTTAAATGTTTGGGTTTTTTTTTCTTCTGGCACAAAAACATTGGTATTACTTTTAAAAAATGTAGGGGCAAGGAGCTAAAGAAGGAAAAGAAGCGACCTACCTAGAAAGGCTGCAGGAAGGCAACAACAGCTTGTATTTTTTTCATACTGTTTCACACTTCTGTGTATCTCTGTACCATTTCTTGTCATAAAATACACATGGATGAAACACTGAAAATTTTACTGAATGCAAAGTTCATTTAGTACCTGCCTACACCTCGAAACTGCAGTGATGTGAGTTGCTGTACAGGGACAGAGTGTTGTTATGTTAGTGTAATGCATATGAATGATTTTGACTCTTTTTTCAAAGGGTCAGTGTCAGTTCTTACAAAAGCAAGGACTGAGGCCAAGGAGTGTTGGCTGGGACTTGTGTGAGCCTACAACTGCATCTCAGTGCTGGATTGAGCAAACACCCAGATATTCCAATTTTGTTTGAAATTATAAACAAACAAAAATCTTCAAGCCCCGCATAACGGGGCCAGACTTTTCTCTTAGACTTTGTGATCTGGACGGTTATCCACTGGGGATTAAGGTGAGATCACCAAAGGTGAGATCATTTTACATGGATAACCTAAATCTGAAGCTGTTATATTCCTCAACTGAGTAAGCAGTAGAAAATCAAAACAACTACTAACAAAAACTCCTTGGCTTTAAAATTGTTAAAGAGGAAGCAAACTGTATCTGAGAAGCAAGTTTCCAAAACAATGATCTCCTCAGAGTAACTCTTTTGACACTATGCCATGGACCGTGCTGTGTGCATGCCTGGGAAACCATCACAGAATTTGGTTTGAGGAACATGTGGCTGGTGAGCTAGATGCACAGCATTAATAGGGATGCTTGTCCTGCTCTGTGCAGTGCAGCCTACTGTGTGCAATGTGGGGAAATGCACCCTCCTCCTCCTCCCTTCATTTCTCCCACAGCAATGATGGTTCTTCAAAATGAAATGGGCAATTCCTTCTCTCTGCTGCTGAAATGCATCCCCTATCTATTCCCAGCAATTGCAGAAAGGGAGCTGGGCTGTTAAGAAGGTGCTAGCCTGGAGTCTATTGAGTGTTGTGTCATGGCTTATGTTGCTTGCTCTCCTGGCTATGGTGGCAATTCGACTCACAGTGGAACTCATTCTTTGGAGAGACCTGAGGACAGGAGCACTGCCTGACTGCCCTGAACATTTCTGCCTGGGACACTGTGTGAGGCTGTCAATACATACTGAGGAATTGCCTAGGAGGTCCCCTGTCTCATTTGTCTTGGCTGCTCTCATATGTGGCTGCACATCCTGCTGCAGCAGGATAAGATATTTCTGCCTAACTTCTGGGAGAACTTAGTTTTTCTAGGGGAAAAAAAAGAACTTCTACATATGTTACAATGTAATGATGTAGAGCCGTTGTGGGGCAATGAAATGATTCTGTTGTGTGGTGAACAGATTAGACACATCATCACTTGTGTTTTGTTGCTCCATTTTCCTTTGCCAGAGGTTACTTTATAATGTAAACTACCATAAAAACTGAAGACATGGAGGATTTCTGGAGGAAAGCTATAGTTAATTCACTGATTTTCCTGGGCTGTGGACACAACTGGGAAATAACATGGGGGGTGGTGGTACCTTGTAGTCACTGATGACATTTTTGCCAGCATGCTGCACAACCTCCCATGTATGATTGCCTCTCTCCACATGCCCTTGTGTCACTCCTGTCCTCTATGACTTCTTACACCAAAATGGATAATAATTTGCTGTCTAGATGTTTGTTTCTAAGGAACCCTTCTCTTAAAGTATTTGGTTTCCCCCAGTAAATGATAGATGCCCCATTGTTCCCAGAGACCATTTCAGTATCAAGTGGTTTAATTGGCTTTAATTCACTTTTTCCAAGGAAAAGGAAGAATTGAGATTTTCTGTGCTGCAGTTTAAACCTCCCAGCATTCACTGAAGAAAAACAGGTGGATGTTGGTGGCTTGTTAGGCCAGTGTCAGTCCCTTCTTTTTCTTTTAAAGAAAAGCAATGCAGAGAGGCAGAATCTGAGTGCTACCTGGCTATGCTAATTTCTGCCTAGAACATTGCTCTGATACAGTTTGCCTGGAAAGACTGTTGGGTTGATGAACACAACCAAGTAGCCCATCAGGGAATGTTACCATAGCAAATAAGCCATTTTGTTCATGCTTGAACCTCTCAGATCTCCACTCACAGCTCCCCTGTTGTAGTGCTCAAGCCTGGGTTCCTTGTTTTTGCCCTTGCACTACACAGCTGTTAGCCATTACTCTGCATTTTGTTTGTCTATCTTTTAGATGAAGGAATATTTTTTTTTGCTTGATTTAGTTTGATTGGGAGAAAGTAATTATGCAGAAACCACAATATCTCTGACCATAAGCAGACTGTACAGAATAAATATATCTAAGCAGAAATGGGTAAAACGTGGTTTTCTGCTACTTCTGTACAGGATGTGACATTTCTGGCATTAGGCCTACATTTCTGTGTGTATTTTTTCACCTAGGAA